CAAACAAACAAACAAACTTAAGGAGCAACGTTCGCACAGCATGCTCGTTGCCTCCTTCGCCTCCTCAACTGACAGACTTGTTTACTGATTTAGTATTTACTGTTTATACTTTAGCTTCTTTCTTTGGCCAAGTAACTGTTTGTTTGTTTTGAATTTCGCGCAAAGGTACACGAGAGCTATCTGCGCTACCCGTTCCTAATTTAGCAGTGTAAGACTAGAGGGAAGACAGCTAGTCATCACCACCCACCGCCAACTCTTGGGCTACTATTTTACCAACGAATAGTGGGATTGACCGTCACATTATAACGCCCCCACGACTGAAAGGGCAAGCATATTTGGTGTGACGGGGATTCAAACCCGCGGCCCTCAGATTGCGAGTCGAGCACCCTAACCACATGACCATGCCTGGCCGGCCAGGTAACTGGCTTCATACTTCGATTGCATAAGTTTTAAATATCTGAAAACAGAAACTCCACAACAATATAATTAAATGCAAAGCAAAGAAAACACAATAAAATACATAAGTTAACGAGACAATTAATTAATTCGTTTTCAAAATGAGTTTTGATACGAAGAGGAAATCTGTGATTCTAGAAAATATTTATACTTAGAATTATTGGCTTTAACATACCAAGCGAACGACAGATAAATATTTGGAACTTCGTAACTTTTATAGATTTATTTGAGATTCAACCATCTATAAATTACCACAATAACAAAATCGTACTTGTTTTTAGTATTAGTAAAGTTGACCAGAAATTAATATAAAGCGTCTTGGTTATTTAAACTTTATAGGACATTTATTGTAAAAAATACTTGAAAGTAACATGTTTTATATGGCATCATTTACCTCCAAACTACAAACTTATGTAAAGTATCAACCATTGGGCCACATGAGATATCAGACTGGAAAAGTTAAACTTTTTTGTTTGTAAGAATCCAACATTTAATGTCATGTATACTTTCAGCATAACACGATAAATAACAACCATTCATACACATTTATGTTAAAGAGCTCTTAAACCTTTAATTATTCCAATTTTCCACACAGCTAAATTCAAAACATTACATGCCCAAAACACTGAAGAATGAAGATTCGAATATCGTGTTTCTTAAATTTCTAAAAAGCGACGTACAAAAACAATGAAAAACCTGGAACAAGGTAAATCGGCTAATAATTGAATGCTTTAAGTATTATGCAAAGTCAAACAACGTTTACAAACACGGAAACGCAATTAGCAAGATATCCTGGTGTCAGTTATTACTCTGTATATATTTCAACAACAAAAAAACTACAAACCAAAATTTCCTTCATATTCAAATATGTATTTGAAAGAAGGGCGACAAGGATTAATAAATTTTTCCTATATTTTATAGTCGGAAATAAATGTCGCAGCTGTATGTCTCCTCTTAAGTTGGTAATATCTTAACAGTGCAAAGAACAAAGCCATTCTGGGTTATGCGCTGTGTCAACCGCAAAGGGACTGAACCCCGGATTTTAGCGTTGTAAGTTCGTAAACTTACCGATGTAACTTGAAAGTCAAAGGGTCACTGATATGTAAGGTTTTTGTTTTATTTTTTTTCCAAAAATTGTAATTTTCTAATTGTACTATATAGCTACATATCATTGCAGTAAAATCGTGTCATGTAAGGTTTATTGTCTTACACATCACCATCCACATATAATTATGAAATATTTTAAGCTTTGAAGAAAACTAAATTTGTTGACAGTTCAGACAAACAGTCTGTTTGTTTATTAAAAATATAATAACATGTACGATTCGACGATTTACTGTGCCCTAAACAGTTACACGAGTAACTGGTGCTAGTGTTAATTTCTCGTTAGTGAAACCAATCTTTAACAAAAAACAACAACAACAACTAAGTATCACGACTTATCGTATAGGTTAATAAAATCCCTATGGCGTTACGCTAATTGTAAAAAGTGTTACAAGGATAAAACTTGAAGATTTGACAAAAGCACTCTACTTAATTCCGATCATAAGAACGTCCTTATTTTTCAGGATGAAACGTTTACCAATATCCAATTATGGTTATTAAAGGCCGAATATCTTGTAGGCGAAAGTTATATTCCTTGACTTACTAATTATTAATAAGAACTTCTGAGTGAAAGTAAAGTGCCAAATAATATGTCAACACACTATATGTTCCATATTCAGTGCAGAAGAGGCCTTTTGCCCAATACCATGCTTCTTCTTACCGGCTAAGACACAGTGAAACTTCGCATGGTGTCTTTTGTCCAATTCTGTATTTCTTCTGGCAATAATGCAAAAGAGAATTCAAGTAAATGGCCGTGAGATATTTTCTGAATTAAATCAAACATACAACTCCAACGCAAGTGGTTAATGTTTGTGTATACAAATAAATAAATAAATATAAATCTTTTATCACAATATTCAACGTACCGTTAAACAGCTAATCAGGTTCTGTTCAAAAACTTTCTGAAAAGCTCGGGAATCGCTACACCACTCTAACAGTTCCCTCGCTGCATTCTGGAACCCAGCTGGTGACCCTAAAGCCTGAAAAATTAAAGTAAATATGAAATATGTTATAAAACACTTTAATATAACGCAAGAAGATGGACGTAGAAACCCTGCCGAAGTAACAGAAAAAACGTTATTCCAAAAATAATTGTATATAATAAGTGGTAACAGAACACCCCGTACCCCTACATTTCACAGTTGTAGAAATATTTTATTAAAAGATTTGAATGATCTATAAATACGTCATTACTTAATAGTGAACATAACAACTTCTAACCTGATTGTTTGTTGCATTTTTTTTCATGTACTCGTGATACTGCTACTAGTAACATTCTATCAGTCAGAGTAATATTTGGCATTTCGCGGCCTGTAGTTTTGGAACACGTTGGCATTATTTAGTAAACTACTGATACTATTTATAATCTACACACCATCTTTTGGTATTATTCTGTAAACTACTGATATTATTTATAATCCACACATCATCTTTTGTTATTATTCTGTAAACTTCTAATACTATTTATAATCCACACATCATCTTTTGTTATTATTCTGTAAACTACTGATATTATTTATAATCCACACATCATCTTTTGTTATTATTCTGTAAACTTCTAATACTATTTATAATCCACACATCATCTTTTGGTATTATTCTGTAAACAACTGATACTATTTATAATCTACACATCATCTTTTGGTATTATTCTGTAACTACTGATATTATTTATAATCCACACGTCATCTTTTGGTATTATTCTGTAAACTACTGATACTATTTATAATCCACACATCATCTTTTGGTATTATTCTCTAAACTACTGATACTATTTATAATACACACATCATCTTTTGGTATTATTCTGTAAACTACTGATACTAATCCACTGGTCAAATAAACACTTTGACATCTGTTTTATTTAACAGTTCTTGTAACCAATCAAACCAGATTTCCTGTAAGCTTTTATCATAAAAACTCTACACCTAGACAGAAAGCTTTAGAGTTGGTTAAGTTATTTTGATAACTTAGTTTTGCCTTTGATTGTTAGAAAAATTAGTGTCTTATAAAAAAAAAAATTCAACTATTAAAGAGATTAAACGTTCTTACTCCTTGTATTCCATCGAGCGAATATATATTGACATAATTAGGTGATTAAAAAACAGGGGTCACATTCTTGGAAGAGTTAAATTTAAGATCAAGAAAATGTGAGGATCTATCTATTGAAAGTGGAGTGACACGTAGAAGTGTTGGGTTGTCGGGCTTGATGAAATTTAGTTAATTTATAAATTTGCACCAAAATCGATTTTTATAAAACGATTCGTAGTTAAATAAAGATTTTGCGATATAATTAAAGATTTTGTAAGTAATGACAATTTATGTTCACTGAAAGTAAACTGCTAATGATATATAATCCCAGAGAGACAAAGGTATCTGAAATATCAATAAGTACCTCAAAAAATAAAATATGTAAGTCCCAAACGGTGTTTAAATTTCTTGAATATGTTGAAGAGAAACACGTAAATGCTTTTTATCGTATGCAATTTTTAATATCTTGGTAATTTAGTTATATTTTTCGTTTATTAGTCTCTAGGAATTTTTTAGTTATTAATGAAACTAAACTGGTGTTGACATACACTGCCTGGCTACTTTATTAAGACCCTAATATAACATTGGGTTGGACCACATCTTCCCATAATGATAGTCTGGAATCAGCGTGACATAAAATTTACAAAATGCAGGAAGGTCTTGTTTGATTGTAGTTCACCCGATCAAGGAGTATATATAAATATATATAATATGCACATTTCTCAGAATTGTCAGTAAAGGATTAAGGTGGCGAATGCAACGCTCAAGTTCATCCCAAAGATGCTCAGTTGGATTGAGAGCCAGTGATTTTACTGCCTAAGGATGATTACTTAAGTCACCATTGGGCTCTTCGAACCACTTCCGGAGAATGCCACTACAGTGTATTGTTGCCTTGTTGTCTGGGAAAAGTGTTTGACCATCAGGATAGAACTGCAGAATTACGAAGTAAACATGATTGGCAACAACAAAATGAAGGTACAATTAAGTTATTTACCATTTTAAAGGAACCAAAGACTCAACCTTTGCCATTATAAACACACCCACATCATAAAATCACCTCTAGCAGCTTGTATCTGTCGTAACAACTGAATCAGGTCAAGTGCCTTATGTAGTTTTACCATATGTTTACTTTACTATCGGCACATAAAATGGTGAAAACGCGAATCATTAGACCTAAGCATCACTAAAGTCCTGTCATCCTGTGTGTTTAAATCTCAGATAAGCAGTTTACGGACTTTGTCGACTGTCAAATGCCAGTTTTTGTATGTTCCTCACATATCATGGTTGAAGATAGTTGAATTCTGATCACTGTTAAAAAGATTGTGTGAAATCTTGATCGCTGATGAAAGGACAGGTTAACTGGGATATTGTCTGATGTATGTTTCATTTTACACAAACCAATGACCTTTCCATTCGACATGTCACTAAGGGTTAGTAGCTATAGTTTTTTGTTGTTTTTTTTCTACTGGCAGGAGTATTGTTTTCTATTGCCACTGTTTATAGATAATATCTTTGAACAGCTAGCCAAGAAAACGATATTGATAAATACGCTCCTGTTAGTCGAGCACTTACTATTATGATCCTGTGAAAGTCAGTGAGATCTTTGATTTTGCAGATTGTCTATATCTCCTCATTTACAGAACTTATAAATTATTTGATGCAACATACAGTCAGCCTATCATTCAGATGCATATAAGTAGAGCGCTTCAAATGCATATGTGTGTATGTGGGAGGTATTCACTCAATGTAGAGAGACTGAGTACGTAATAGTAAAACAAATTTGGAGCCTCACCACAACGTTACAGTTCATGTCGACATGTTCAGCTATACTCTGTCTGGCGACAATGCACCTTGACAATAGCCCTGAAGCGTAGTTTCTATTCCAAAAGGTCTTGTTGCGAGACTGTCATGTCCAAAGCGCATCGCTTCTCCATACTTTACTTCCATAATCTATTTAGGGTGTGAACATGACGGTTTCTCAACTCCAGTTTCAGCAGCCCGATCGCACAAAAATGCATAGGCTCTGCATCCGTCGATATGACCTACATTTCTTCCAATGGAATAGCGTGAATATCTGTTTCATTCTCCAGTTGCTTAAGATATGTGAAGGTTGAAAGGATCTGTTGTGGAATCCAACTTGTATACACTGGACTTGTGTCGCTTTTCCAGACAGATATCCTTCTTTATTTTGTTGCTTATGTTGCCTGGGGAACGTGCCACTGATCTTTGTGTTTGTGTATTCTCACCTGTTACAAAACGCGACAATTTGCTAGCACGACGAGGGTACAACTTATTGCAGAACTCTTTCTGGATGGTTCTGGTGTCCCACGTTGATCCATATTCCTTAGTTTTCCAATGCAATTAAGTAAAAAGGATAACTTCGTATTAAAAATAATAAATCCCCGATTTGAACACATCTTTATGTCAAATGTAGTTCTGATACATTACATTCCACTGCGACTTTATATCGGCTGTGGCTGTCACGTGATTTACTGATTTGCATATTCAAAGTTGTTTTAATATAATGAACTTAATTCTCTATTTAAGGTCTAGGTTTTTTGCAATTTTACCTTTCTTCATCTTGATAAAAATTATTATCTTTCACCAAAGAACACTGATGTAAGCTGTAAGAAATCTTTTAATTTGCTTTGTAATTCTTGTATATCTATAAACGATTTTTTTGTTGTTGTTGTTTATAGTAATAACTAGAAGATAAAATGTCATAAATAAATAACACTAAATATTATCATTGATCGTTGGCTAGTAAATCATTTCCATTTCCTCCTTCCGATATGTATCCAACGTAATATTGACGTAATTCTTAGAATTTCTTCCGTCGTGGAATATAGTACGGATCCTCCCCACCAACCTTAGCGGCTTTGGAAGTAAAATGGAGCTTCTTCGTGTACAAGACCATTTTTCTGGATGCGGGAGGGTGCAAGGTAACAAGATTACTTTTGGTCACGCTAAGTATTAGAAGAAACTGCACGAAAATTGTTTTCTTTTTTCATGTCAGTGTCTAAATTTATATACTAGTATCGCCGCACTGTATTGACTGGTTTTAGGGATACAATAATACATTTGCTTCATTTAAAGATTTCATTATTATAGAAGAGATCGTGTTGTTAATTAATTAAAATTAACTATATAATGAATTCCTGTGTGTGTTTCTCTCTAATTTATGACGACCCGGCATGGCCAGGTGGTTAGGGCGCTCGACTCGCAACTTGCGGGTCGCGGGTTCGAATCCCTGTCCCACCAACCACGCTCGCCCTTTCAGCCGTGGGGGCGTTATAATGTGACAGTCAATCCCACTATTCGTTGGTAAAAGAGTAGCCCAAAAGTTGGCGGTGGGTGGTAGTCACTAGCTGCCTTCCCTCTAGTCTTTCCCTGCTAAATTAGGGACGACTAGCGTAGATAGCCCTCGTGTAGCTTTGCGCGAAATTCATAACAAACAAACAAACTCAAATTTATGAATTCAATTTGGTGATCTAATTAGTCAGAATACCAGTGTCTAGGTATTTTATCTTGAAAATGTTCTTTACATTTTGTGAAATATGAAATATACCGACTACAGTGAATGTCCATCTTACGAAAGACCGATTGATACTGATATCTATTGTCAATAAATTAGTTCATTAGCATC